GAGAAAATAAAGTTTCTTAGTATTCATTTCATTTAGGGTACCACAAAGTTTTTTCTGCTAAATACCAAAAATAATGGATTTATACTGAGATATTCTGAAAAACCATTCCCATGTAGTCATTGATCCAAAAAGAAGCCCTATGTTACCCTTCACTGCTGTAATTCATTACAAAGAATGAACAGCAAATATAATGGAGACAGAATTCAAATCAAATGCCATTTGGCTTCATGGTTAGTGGTCAGCAATTCAAGCCAGTGTTTGACCACTGAGAAGATGAAATTCTATCAGTAAAGCCATCGTGTCCAGTCTGGTGACCACTTGCTTTTTCTGACAACTCCTGCCGTTCAGCCGTCTTTGTTCATTACCTGCTTTGAAACATACAAATTAAAGAACCAATCGACTGTTAGATTTCAGATTGTGATTGTGTCACTGTTTTGATATTTCGAGCATGTGGACTAAAGTCGTGACCAACTGGTTTCCGTCCCCAGGGTTGTCACACCATGACAATGGGACAATACTGTGGCACAGGAAATGTCAATCCAGTGATACTTATGACTAATTAAACTGTCAGTGGGCAGTGGCAGGGGACAGGATAACTGGATGATTGGACACATATTTGAGACTGGATACCGTGGGCTTTTTACTAGGATGTTTGTGTGGTTGGGAGGGGGGGGGAGAGAAAAAATCGTAAAAAGCTTCTCCCTCTCTCTCCCTCTCTCTCTTTTTCTCTCTCTCTTTCTCTCTCTTTAAGAATTTGATCGTCAGGTGATCACTTTTCACTGACAAAGTTATTTTAAGAAGCAGTAATGGCGAAACCACTTTTTGGCAAAACCGTTTCTTATTGTGATGGTCTCGGAAGCTCTGGGTATGTTTGATGATGAATAATTGATGGGAGTTCATCACTTTATGTGAAATATATTGAAATCTGAAAAATATTATTTTAATTTATAGTAATTACATTATGCAAAAGAAATAGATTAGTACAGAACAAGTAAAATGTTATCAAATTTCATATCTACATATACAATACCATGCATTTACCACTGAAAGCCAAAATGAAAGCCAAATTTGGCTGTTCCACTGTTAACCATATTGTTCATTGTTTAAAACAGAGCCAGGAGACCTAATGCTGGCCTCAAGTGACCACTGCATGACTGTATGTGCCCAGTGGTGATGGACGTTGGACATAGTGAATGAACTTTTTGATGACTTAGTCACAGCACCATCTGGCTAGTCTCAATTGTTCTCCCTTGAGAAATGCAGGGGTCATTTTCACAAAGAGAACTTCATGACCAAAAAATGTTCTAAAATTTCAAATTGTTCTAAACTTTTAAAATTTAGTCTATTTTGACCCAAGAAGAATTGATTAAATGAATTATTACTTACTTAAAAAAAAGATATAAGCACTGTTTTAGACCAATGGTGCTTACTCTATTTAGACCTTTCCTTTGTGGTTACTCTTCCACAGAACTACACTACTATTGCTAAAAGCATTTTTCCCATGTGTATGTGATGGCTTTTACAATCATGTGTACTTTCATAGAGAAAGCTCTCAAAATTATTCAATTTTGGCAAGAATATCTGAAATGTTTTCATTTTTCTTCAAATTCTCAACTCAGTGACCTAAGATGAAAGTCAGATCCCTCTTGATCCCTGCGTCATACATGAGTGACCATAGGAGTACCACTTTGAGCTTGTTAACATCAGTACAAGGTGGGAAACGGTTATTTGAACCATTTAACAATGATAGATAGCTGTGACTGATACAGAAGTGGAACAATTTAAAACTCATCAGTGACAGTAGTCACCTTGTACTTGGAGTCATTATGGTGACCTCCAATTGTATAAGCTGCAGAAATTGTTTCTAATGTTTCCTTTGATATTTGTGTTTGCTTTAAAGTGCATTGTGTTTGAAAAATGTAATATTTCTGCCCCACGGGTCTGTTTCACAAAGAACATTACGCTGAATATTTTACTCCCAAATTTGAGTCTACTTTCACCCCCCCCCCAAAAAAAAAAAAAAGCAGTAGTGGTCCTGTTAAATGGGATGTTGTGTTTTTGATAAATAAAAAGAAGAGGCTGATGTTTCAGACTAAATACTTCCATGTACTTAATTTCAGTTGTCTGCTACCTTTGCATCTGGATTGATTTTGAGCTGAAATAGAGGAAGTCTTTGGTCTTAAAGTTTAGTCCAATTTTCAGATGACAGAACTTTTTTAAAACCCTGTATTATATTTTCTTTCAGCTGCCACCATTACACTTATTTTGGTTATGTAATCAAAGAAATTGTCTATAATTTTTTCATTTGATCCTTACTTTTTTTTTTGTGTGTTTTGGGGGAGGCAGATGATAAGAAATGATGTTTTCAAATGTGCAGTTTAGTTAATAAAAATCAAACCCATTTTATTGGCCAATTTAGTTTATTTTCTTTTTCTCAGCATCAGTGTCTATATAGAATTAGACTTTTTCAATAAAATGTGTTTTCATTGTGGAAAATCAAAGAGAATAGTTCAATATTTATTTTTGTGCAATTGTTGGCCTTGTCTGGTGTTTATTTGTCGATAATTACGAGCACTGACCTTGTCTGCTGATGTTGTTCAGACCACACACTGTAGTATTGTCACAGATGTGGGAAGGGTAATAGCGATGTGTACAGAACAGTCTACAGCCACATGCAAAGCCTGATGTGAGAAACTCCCATGATGGCCAATGATGACCACATTGTGGTTGTAAGCTGCCTGGGAGCCTTTTCCACAAGAATTGTATTTTAGAATAATTTGTTTTTATAAATTGAATGGGGAGAGAAAATATTTGGAAGAGACTTGACACACTTGATACACTTACAAGTGTATTATGTAATGAGGAGGACAGTCATAAAATGTGGCTGCCACGCCTATTTGCCTGTCTATTAAAAATTATTTATCCTGATTTTTTTTCTGAATGACAAAATTGAAAATAATTGATACATTTGGTCTTTAGTTATTGGATTGTTATTGAGTAATCCTCTTTTGACTTTTTGTCTCACTTCATGAACAAAAATGGAAGCATAATAAGGGCCCCATCATAACACTAAACATGTAGACAGTTAATGCCCACTTCTTACAATTGACACCAGTTTCAAAACAATCTAGATAAGATAGTCATCTTTGCAAATACTAGAAATGGTCATTTGAGAAGTGTCAACGGCAGGTCATCTTCCTCTGATACATGAAACATCCCTAAAGTCCTACATCCAGCCTGGAGCCATTGCAGCCATTTTTGCTCTTTGGTTGTATATTTGTCCCTTGTCCATTTCACAGTTCATGTTTCTGTGTTTATTTGACCGAAGAGGGTCCAAATAAACTTCAAGTTAATGTGGACCCTTTGGTTGTTTATTTGAAAGAAGAACTTCAAAGAGGAGAGAGAAATTTTAGATTTGAATGCCAGTATTTGTATGGCGAAACTGAAGATTTGCCATTATTGTGAAATGCTATGCCAAATGTGTATTGGCAGGCAAAACAATTGATTTTGGTCATTGAACTTTGGGTCTTGTTAAATTATCGCCCACCAATTAGTCCACTATATGTAACAGAGAGGGTTGATAACCTAGAAATGGATTCCTTGGAACTGAGGTCATGACACCTTTTTTTAATCAGACTTTTTTTTCAGACTCACCATGTGTTTTTAAATTGGAATATGAGTCAGAGGGTCACTGTTTAATATCAAATCTTCTTTTTTTTTGGGGGGGGGGTAAAAAATGAAAACTAATTTTTTACACCATTGTTTGATTGAAGAAAAAAAATCCTACTCACATTAATTGAATATATTGGAGATAACGTGAGAATATCTTGCAAATTTGTCCCTTTTTCTTATCTTTTTCTATCCTTGTTCTTTGCAGACTTTAATTTTAAGCATGGGAAGAGGAAACACCATCATCAGCATACTCACCATCACAAAGAAGATGAGCAATTTAATGAAGTATTGCAAAAGAACTCTACTCACAAATGGCGGCAGCGATACAGAAAATCACCACCATTTCTATCCCATGATTCCAATCATCAGCGTCGTAAGCGATCAATATCCTATGATAGATACGTAGAAGTTATGGTGGCAGCTGATTCCAAGATGGCAGCCTACCATGGAGATAATCTTCAACGTTATATCTTAACTTTAATGTCTGTTGTAAGTATGAACTTTTGATTAAAGAAGTAGTTTGTCTAATATTTTTTTAATGTGAATGCTGTCTCCATCTTTTTATTTATTAAGATCAATTGGTAGATTGTTTGAGAAAAATTCCATCATGTCCTTGAAAGTAGCATGTATTTTTATTTTTGCTTAAACTAAGCAGTTATCAATATCAAAGATATTAAATCACTTGTGCCACATCTCAACCTACCTATAACATTCATATACAAAACATTGTTCTGAAAAAGTTACTTTTTTTGCTTGATAACCTTTAAGTAATATTGAAAAGAAGGTCCCACATTTTCATTTCACAGAAGGTTCTTTTCAAACAGAAAATGTAAAACGTGTCAATGTGCTCGGGATTGGGGATCATAAATCTTTCAGTATTTGACAGAATGTTTAGATGGTGCGACACATAATTATGGCATACTTAACAACCTGGCCCTGTGAACACTTAACACTGCCACACTATGTGTGACTGGCATGACATCTGTTAAGGACCACCCAGGGACACCTGGAGCTCAGATAAATGAAAAGTTTTTTCCTTTTTTTTTCCTCAAAAGAACTTTTGTAGCGTAAGTGTGTGTGTGTAGAATTTTAATATTTGTTTATGAAATGGTTTATATATTCTTTTCTGCCATACAGGGAGTAACCCTTTAAGAAAGTTTTTTTAATGTCATGTTTATACTTCCAAGTTTTTTCATTCAAGTCAATACCTGAAAGGAACCTGCATTGTAATATTCAATTACAGTCACTATTCTAATTCAAACAACATGATTTAATAACATTCTAAAAATGTTTCAATAGTAAAACTTACATTTTTTATTTAAAAGCTTTGAAAAGTTAGTTAGATTTGTGTCAGAAAGAACAGAAAGACTTTTTCAGACTTTCTTAAAAATGATAAATCTTGAATAAGTAAAATATTAGAAAAAGATAAGTATTTGAATGACTGAATAAGTGCATTCAAATACTATAAAGTAATGACAGTATTGTGACTTTGGTCACTGCTGTAGTTGAGAAAATGTGACAGTTGAGACTGTACTTGTGATTGTGTTGGTTGAGATGGTAGATGTTTTTCTGGATTATGAGATTTTGTTTGGTTGTGACAATTGTTTTTTTTTTGATAAAATGCCAATTTGCCATTATTAAATCAAGAAATCACACCAGATATATTATATGTTAGTGGAATTAACCATTTATTTATTTATTTATTTATTTATTTATTTATTTATTTATTTATTTATTTTTGATTTCACAGGTTGCCAGTATATACAAGGATGCCAGTATAGGAAACTCATTAAATATAGTCATTGTCAAGTTGGTTGTTTTAGACAAAGGAAAGGTAAGTGGCACTTAATTTTTGTTTTCACTAAAAATTAATAAGTTATAAAACTTTTGTTGCCTGATACTGTAGGCTATGAATAAAATATGTTAAGCTGTTTCTGCCAACTCGGTATGCTTTTTTATGTACAGACACAGATGTGTCTGTACATATAGCCATCATCTGCGTCTGTCGTCGCCATCGGCGCCGTCGTCGCCGTCGTCGCCGTGCACTTTTACCGATAACACGATAAGTGGAAAACCATTTTACCTTTTGACTTGAAACTTGCAGAACTGATGAATATTCATAATACGCAGGTCAAGTTCGAAAATCAGCATGATTGGGCCATTTTTAGGGAATTTATGCTGTTTTTTCACTATTTTCAATATAAATGCAACACTGATAACACAATATAAGAAAAACGGATTGGCCAATTGTAATTATACTCACAGGAGTGGTCAATCTTACTAAAACGCAGGTTGAGTTCGAAAATCAGCATAATCAGGCCATTATTTTAGAAGTTATACTGTTTTTCACATTTCCTCAGATTCAATTATTAGGCATGTTAACAGTCTCATTATTTAACTAATAAGATGCCTAAAAGTGTTTGTTTGATATTTCCTGCATCTTTACAACATTGTTAGTTGATTATGTAAAAAACATGGTAAACTTGTTATCATGTATTGTGTAATAAAGTGTCAAAAATGGAAATAAACTCATATCATTGCAGTTTGTCAGATTCAATCATCCACTATGTTCAGAATCTCAGAATGGAGGAAATTGGACATTTAACACTGTTCTATTGATACTTTTCCCATCTCATCAATTTTCTTAGTTGGTCATATAAAATGGCAGTAAAATGTTTATTTTGTTTTATGTTAAAAAAGTGTTAAAAATGGAAATAAACCCATTTCAGAACAGTGCTGTCTTGTTTACATTTTGGCATTTTCAAGGCGTGACTTTGAAGTTCCATGGGCCTGAAGACCTTTGCTAGTCACATTTTCTGAATATCTGTGAAACAAATATTTTATAATTAAAAATTGATGGTCATTAAGCTGTTAAACATTATGTAATATTGCATCAAAATTTGAAGAAACCCCTATTTTGGGCACTGCTTCCATGATGACCATTTAAGGAAAATCATGTCACTTACTGTTCTCAAACTTACAGGAAAGAAACATGGGACTAAAATACAGCTTCAATGGGCAATGCAGTCTGTTTGGTATTTTTATTTATTTATTTATTTTTTTTGGCAGTTAAACAGTTTTTTGTGAAAATTTAATTTTTCACATATTGGCATTTTCAAGGTGTGACTTTAAAGTTCCATGATCTTGAAGACTTTTGCTTGTCACATTTTCTGAATGTCCATGTTACTAATATTTTATTAATAAGATTTGATTGTCATTATGCTGTTAAACATTATGTAATGTTGCATCAAAATTTGAAGAAACCCCTATTTTGGGCACTGCTCCTATGCTGACCATTTAAGGGAAATCATGTCACTTACTGTTCTCAGACTTACAGGAAAGAAACATGGGTCTAACATACAGCTTCAATGGGCAACGCAGTCTGTTTGGTAAATTTTTCTGGCAATTTAACAGTTTTTTTGTGAAAATTTAATTTTTCACTTATTTGCATCTTTATTTTCTGTTCTTTGTCTGTACATTTGACAGCTTTGCTGCCTTGTTATTCCATTTGATGTATCAGACAAAAATTTATCCCTGTAAGAATGCAGCAATAAGACAACAACTTCAGATGTAAGTGAGGTAAAAAAGCTTGTTAGTAAATAGAATTGCCATATGTTTTTGTAGTCAGTAAATTGGAAGTGTTCGAAAATCTAATGGAATTTAAATTGAAACAGCATGGTTTGAAAACATGACTATGTGTTACAACTATTAGTACAGCATGCACTGTTATAACTATATTTCTTTAAAGAATTATCTAAAAATCCTATTTACAAATGTTCTTATGTATTAAGGTAAAAAAATAGCCCAAAAGTTGGGTGGAAATTGATCAGAGTAAAACCAAATTGGACATTACAGTTATAGGAATTTACCATCATTTGCAATAAGTTCCAATTAGTGTAATGTTTAGCAGCATTAGGATATGTAGAGCAGTCTGCAACAGCTGGCTTTCCTATATGTGGGTAAAGTTGCATGGATACTTGCAGTCAATAACATTTGGAAGTTGTAAAATGTGGACTAATAGGAAGGAGAAAGGGTGGGTAGAAGTTTAGTCAGATCAGTAGAAAGATGGACCCCCCCCCTTCAGTTTGTTTGTTTGAACTGATAAAGTTTGTTTCAGGTGAGTGGTGTGCCTGCTGCCACCTCACCATCTTTTTCAGAGGATGACTTGACTCTTCACTTGAATTTCTTGCAGTGGGGCATCTATATACATTGTGAGAGAGAGAGAGAGAGAGAGAGAGAGAGAGAGAGAGACTTAAAATGATTGCAAATTTAGAAAGGCAGCATACCCAGCATTCCCCTATTATTACAAGACTTAAAAAGTGTTATAATCAGAATTACATGAAAAAAAGACACCACATATGATCAACATACATTGGTGTCTTAAATGTATCTGCTTCAATGGGTAAGAATAAGAACAACCACTTAAAAAAACACATAACAGAACTTACCAAACTAAACAAAAGCCCCATCTGAAATACGTTTAAGTACACACATTAAGACCTTTAGTCAGTAATTAGGTACCAAAAGTCAGGTAGGATTTGGAATCAGGAGTTAATTTGCCATATAATTGGGTCCACGGACTCTATCAATTCTTTTAATGTGAGATTGTACAACACGTTACAATCCAAGCAGCAAAAACTGTACATTGTTGTTACCCTGGACAGAGGGGCACCCCGGGGATCAAGGAGTCCCTGCACGGGTCTCATCTCTTTGAAAAGGCACATCTGGATCAGGCCTGCAGCTGGGGTGTTTTCAGGGTGGGTTTGGGTCGGGAGGAGGGGGTCAAAAAGTGATGCCAAATTTCCCTTCCCTCCCCCCTTTCCATATTGGGACTTTTCTTGGGAATTTTTTAATGGATTTGTTTGTTTATTATTTATTTATTAACTTTGTTTTTAAAAAAGTATGTCAACCTAATGGCCAGAGCAACTGTAGCCAGTCTTTATTTGTTATCAAAAGCAAGAGTGCATTTTTATCAGAATTAGACCTGGCGTATTGTGAAGTTTGAGTTCTCAGGGTGGCATTTTTGGAGACCCCTTGTGTGAGATCTTGATTGATTTTGTATACAAAAAGCTTATAACTTTCACATATGTCGGGGACATTGTGCAACTTTAGGAGAGAGAAAGGGCCCATTGAATAAAAAAAACAAGATTTTTTATTTTCAGGATTGATTTGGATGATAAGGTTTTAACTAAAAGCATTTTTGAAAGATAAAGTACCAGTTAAAAGATTTGGGATAGATGTGTTTTTTCTCGTATCAAGTGTCACCTTTCTGATCTGAACATTCCTGATAAGCCATAGAAGATGTCTGTATACTGTTTTTTTTATACTGTATTTTGGTAGGGGTAGGGAGAAGTGGAAAGGAAAAGAAGTTTGTGGGGTGATTACTATATATAAGACAAGAAAATGGTTCTCCCTGCTTCTTGAAATATGTTTTGCTTGTTTGTGCAGGCATGTGTATGTTTGTGTGTAAGAGATAGGAGGAGGAGGAAGGGGGAGTGCCTTTGAACAGATGTTTTGATCAAAATTTTTGATTTTTTTTTCAGCACCCAGAGATTACAGCAAATGCAGCTACCACGCTGAAAAATTTCTGCCACTGGCAGTACAAAGTCAATGAAAATGATGATTCTAACCCTAACCACCATGATACTGCTTTACTTATAACAAGGTAAACTGTCAGACAAAAAAAAAAAAAAATTCACATGTACTCCCAAGATAGCTGCAAAATGTTTACCCATAAGATTGGTTTCAGTGTAATAATTTTTTATCTCAGAAAAATGGACACACGTTGCCACTTGTGGAATTAGATAATCAACATTTGATCTCATTTGGTTGTTTATTGTTTTAGTACGAGAATTGTGCTTTTTTGTGTCAATGATCCATTGATATCCAATGATTCTTATGTTTGCATGAATGGTGCAATGCAAATGTAGAGAAAATAAACAAGGTGCACATTTGCTATTTGTGATATGAGCAAGTTTTCCAGTCTTAATAGAATATTGGATGTTAATATTGGAAATCATAAATATTGTATTTTTTTGTGAAGATAAGTTTTATTGAAGTTTTGTGGTTTTATTGAATTTTGTAAAATTGTGATATGACTGAAATACCACCTAAAATTGGAACCACTTTTATTTTCAGGGAAGACATATGTAGGTCAGCAAGAAAATGTGATACTTTAGGTAAGAGCTAAATCTGGGAGTCTTCAATTTATGTCCAGAAAGTCTTTCTACACAAATAGATGCAGAGTAACTTTTTGAATTAGAATGCAAGAGTAACATTTTTTGAATTAGAAAAAAAAAAAGAAATTGAACAAGCCAATTGTGCCCTATTTCATGTCCTATTCTGTTCTTTTGTGCATCTGAAAATTTGTTATATCTGATAATTATTCGTTTATGATTGAATTAGATCATTTGAAATCAATATCACCGCTTTTCTTTCCAACCCAGGCCTTGCAGAGTTGGGCACCGTATGTGATCGCCACCGTAGTTGTTCAATTACAGAAGACAATGGACTCAGTGCAGCATTCACCATTGCACACGAACTGGGCCATGTGTAAGTTATAGTTCTCAGGATTTGGTTTAAAATTGTACATCCCTGATTCTTCTTTGCAGATAGCTATTAGGTTGTTCAGAGCTGTACTTGTAGTCATGAAAATTTATGACAAATGAACATTAAAATAAGAATTTTAATCAAAAAGGATTAACTGTCTTATTGAATTGTTTTATATTTCTGAACTGTAAGATCACTATTGAAGTTAAATGTGGAATTTTTTCTCAAAGTGCTTTTCATTATCTAAGAGAAATGATGTAAAAGACGGAGTGAATGAATATTATTTGAATTCTCAGAAAGTGAAAATAAACAAATAATGAAATAATTTCTGTCAGTAAAAAGAACAAATTAATAGTAGAAAATGAAACATGGTGAAGTAAATGAAGAAAAAATAAAGATATGTTGTAATTTCTCTTCTGTCCTTCAGTTTCAGTTTACCTCATGACAATCATCCCAAATGTCGCCAGTTCCCTGGAGGAAAGGCGGGAATCTTTAACGTCATGGCGCCCACTTTAGACTACAACACGTACCCCTGGTCATGGTCTGCGTGCAGCAAGACTCTTATCACAAGTTTTTTAGAGTAAGTTGATCAAATATTCAATGATGGAATATAAGTTAATCACTTTTCTTTATTCTGAGAAGTTCTTATTTCTGTATTTTTGACTTTCTTATCATACACACAGGGATGCATCACATGGCTTCATTTCTTAGCAAATATGTCAAGTATTCAGTGAGGAAATATCACTGCATTAAATTTCTTCATTAGACCTTTTTCAGTCTTTGAAACAAATTGTTCATTTAAGTTTACTCAAATGAAAATTATACCTATAGCTCAGGCCATATATTTATTGGTATAAATTTTGGAAAATTCAGTTCACAGAAATCTTGTATAAAATTCCCTGAATGCACAACCTTTTCCCTGCAGGTCTGACCATGTATATTGATATGAATTTTCCATGAATTTTGGAAAATTCAGTTCACAGAAATCTTGTATAAAATTTCCTTTATGTCCATCTTTCCCTGCAGGTCAGGCCATGGCAACTGCTTGCTGGACAAGCCAAGTAAGAAGGAATACGTGGACAGGATGGACAAACTTGAGAGACACCATCCTGGAGAGCTGTACAATGTCAATGAACAGTGTCAGCTGGTGTATGGGAGGGGATCTAGAGTTTGCCCATATATGGTATGTTGAGATTTCTGAATTATCCCATATATGGTAAAATGTGTATTTTGTTAGATGTTATCAATAATATTACTGGAAAAATTGGTTAAGCATGCATGCGTTATGAAATGGTCTGATGAAACTGGTAAAAAATAATTATAATAATATTTATTCATCCAGTTTAATACACATAATCAAAACTTATTTTATCCTCCCAAGAGCAGAGAAAACGAAGAAGTATTATTCATCAAAGATAAACTGGGTTAAACTATATCCGGTGTTTTAGAGTACATATTCTCTGTAATGCTTCCAGACAGTATGCAGAACATATATTTATCCACACATCAGTCATACACAGGATATCTCCCTCAAGCTTGGCAGTCTGGTGTCTTGTAGTACACATACTTCATAATCTTCCCAGACAGACTGTTTTAACTGTCTGAATTTCAGAACCATCCCACAGACACAAAGTTTCCATCTATTGGTTGGGGACCCATTAGCATTATTTGCGAAGAGACATTCTTTGGGGCAATGATTGTTAGCAGTCATTAAAAAAACAAGGCCCCCTTTTGTTGTCTGAATTAATTTTCTGCATTGTTGCTAATGTTTTGTTTGTTTAATGTCTCCTCCATGTTTTTAATTTCTCCTCACCATATTTCCCCTTTGCATACCAAACTGATTCCTCCACGTGTCTACCACAAGATATTTTTTTCCAAATTAAATTGTCCTTTATTTGAGCAATTTGTGGTAACTACAGCACAATTTTTTGTCCGAAATGTTATGATGAACAATTTGTTATAATATACGTTCTTTATTATAGGACTTAATTACTTTTTTTCTTTGTGACTCTCTTGTGCTGAATTATGACAGTGGTTAGAGTGGAAGAAATCTGAGGCTTTTAGATTTGGGATAACTGAATGGAAATTAAAATATGTCGCATGAGGCACTGGAGTAATTAACATTCTAGACAGTCTGATGTCATCCAGTAATCAGTTCTGTGGTGTTTGTGGTGACATTTAAGCAAGCAAAGGAACATGTATGTCTCCAACAGCTGTTTGGTTTATAATTGCTCATAATACAGGACCATGTGGTCTGCATGTGAGTGGATCTTATCAAGTTGTCTTCTCATTTTGAACTAAGTTTGCTTTTGACTTGAGTGTCATAATTGAAGTGTTTTCTTAAACCAGTAAATTATAAGGAAATGTGACCCCCAATTAAAAAAAAAAAAGCAATGTTTTAAGGCATATGAATATCACTCTTCTGTGCTTTCATCTTTCTTACAACGTTATGGAAAAAAAAAGAAAAGGAGTGAATTAGGAAACTGCATAAAAGTTCATTTAATTTTAATTTGACAAATTTAAATGCTTTTTGCTATTGGTCTTGGTTTTCATTTCAGCCTGTGTGTAAGCGCCTATGGTGCACAGCACAGTATGGTCTGGCAAATGGCTGTAGAACACAACACATGCCCTGGGCAGACGGGACTCCATGTGATACTAACAAGGTCTGTACATCTACTCTTGACTATTTTACATATGTTTTTAAGGCAAATGTTGTACAGAAGGTGACTTCTGTGTGTGAGTGTGCATGCAGGCCACTCGTTTTTCCTTTTGCTGCCAAATTCAGTTCTAATTACATCAATGAATCTTGCTCATCTTAAATTCAGAATTTTAAAAATCCATACAGTCATGCGTTTTCTCAACTGAAGTCTAACAATCTTCCTAAATGTATGACAACAAGTGCTGGAAATTGCTTTATCTCATTCTCCAGTGGTGCATGCGTGGAGAGTGCGTCCGTATGCAATCAACCAAGAAGCAGCAGGGTGGCTGGAGTTCCTGGGGCGGGTACGGAGAGTGCTCTCGAAGCTGCGGAGGAGGGATCAAAGTGGCTCAGAGATACTGCAACAATCCTCCGTATGTATAGCCAATCACCTCTCACGAGATTACAACAGGCTGTGTGATTTCTAAGCTTTTCTGTTCTATCTTGCCAAACCTATTAGAAGAACCTTAATTGTGTATTTGGAAACTTGTTTCCTTTCTTTGCATTATTCTTATTGAAAAGTTCTGCCCCAGTGCTGTTGTATCATTTTCATTAGTTAAAACATAAGAGTTAAGGAGTTGTTGTTGTGTTAGAGGTGACAGATTGGAACAGTGGTTGTGCTGGTACATTGTGTTTGGTTGAGCTGTGCACACCATTGTGCTGTCTTCTCAAACACAGTGCATGTTTTCTATAAGATGAAAATATAAAAATCTGTTCTTATTTTCAGACCTAAAAATGGTGGAAAGTACTGTGTGGGCAGGAGATCCAAGTATAGGTCTTGCAATGTTAGGGTAAGACCACTTGTTTTCTTAATTGAAATAAAAAAGAGTGAGGAGTCATTTTTGTTTCTATAACATTTGCTTATAGCATATTTGTCCCAATTACATTATCATGACTATGTTGTTATTTTCCTGACATTAAAACAATATCAAGATTTAACGGAATTGATGATGATAGCTTGTTAATATTTATTTGTTTATTTTAATTTTCTTGATTATAAAATAGATTTAAAGAGCCCATCAGAACACAAGTATTTCATTGTTTTTGATTTTGAAAAAAAAAAAAAAAAACATCTTAGATGGCTTTCTCTTCCCAGGACTGCCCAGCTGGTTCCATGGACTTCCGTGCAGAGCAGTGTGCAAAGTTCAATGGCAAACACTTCAACATAGACGGCCTGCCTCCAAGTGTGCGCTGGGTTCCAAAGTTATATACGGGTAAGTGTCTTGGTCATAAAGACAGGAAAGAAAATGCATTACTGAATCAAAAAAGAGACAGGACAGATCCAGAGATATTTTCTGACAGTTCCAAATTATCTGTGTTGATCCATCCTTCATTTTTGACCACATTTTGACAGAGAAAAAATTAGATCCCTGTCAATGTAAACTTGAAAAATTCTGACAGCTGGAAAACCTAGAAGATGCTCTGTTTGCCCATGAGAGAGGTGGGCAGATAGACAGACAAACAGACAGATTTAACATTTTGTGTTGTCACTCTGTCATAATTTCTTTCTCTTAACAACAGTAACGTCATATGTTTCAGCAACTCCATCTGATCAATGCAGGCTGTACTGTGAAGCAGAAGGTGATGGCAACTTTCTACCTCTAGCGAACAAGGTGATTGATGGGACAAAGTGCGGTCCAGACACAACAGACATTTGTGTCAACGGGTTCTGTAGGGTAAGCATGGATAGCACATTTGATTGTAATTTTAATTAAAATATTTCTTTGTTAATTCAGTTCTCTTTAAAGTTGTCATTTTAGTTCAAATCATAGTATGATGACGTGTAAATACTTGTGTAATATTCTCAATTCTCTTGAGATTAATTAACGCATACAAGCATGTGTTTGTGTGTTTGCTTTGTATCTCCAGCTGTATATACATATGATTGTAAATGCATATACATGTGTTTCAGAGAGCTGGGTGTGATAACGTCCTAGGGTCCAGCAAAAAATATGACCGCTGCGGTGTTTGTGGCGGCGACAACTCTTCGTGTGAAACAGAAACTCACAGGTTCCGAGGACCAGTTGTTTTTGGTAATGGGCTCAAGTTGAAAATTAAACATTTATTTTTTATTAAAGTAGATAGGAATTCGCTACCTAAGAAGAAAAAAAGCTAACACTGAATTATACTTTTGAACATGTATATGTGCACGATTTCGAAAATTGTAGTTTCAAGCATGCATTTTTGTACTAGATTTTTTATATAAAATCTCGACAGAAACCAAAAAAGAAATTAACATTTTTGAGAAAAAAAGTAAAACCCACAGTGCATCTGTACACGTTTATCTCTGGGTCCCTTGATATAAAAGAGTCTGAGGTCCCAGTGCTTGGTTCACTCCAGTATGTGTATACATGCTCATATAATAGCAAATGTATGTAGAATTGGTATCATGTCTTGGATGTAGACATTTTGTCTTTTCAAAGTAACCTGTGCTAGTGAATCCCATATCAGTATTAATTTTTTTAGTTATGTTTGCAGAGATTTTCCCTCAGTAATGGAATAGAATTTCACACATTATTCTCGACATGTTTTTTTTTCAGGCTATAATAAAGTTGGCACCATCCCCAGCGGAGCCTCAGAAATAGATATACGTCAATACAACCATGTGAACAAACATACTGATGATACGTATTTAGGTGAGGGGCACCTTGGGGTGCGTTAATTTTGACAGATTTGATATCACTGCCATAGAAATATGGAAAAATTAGAGAAAAGATGTCAGGAATTACATATGTAAGCCAAGTTTTTCTGTGAAAATTCATATTCAGTTGTTGGCATTTAGTACTGTAGTTTTCTCAGATTTTTTTTTTTTTTTTTTTTTTTTGTGATTTAAAAGGGGATATTTTTTTTGGTATTCTATACCTTGTTATGGCATTATCCAACATTTCAAAGTAGCAGTGCCTTGTATATACTAGATGTGCACTATTAGTTGTTAAAAGAGTGGCAAGTATTATAAACCAAACCTTGCTTTTTTTTAAACTTTTCTAGCATTACAAAATAGCAATGGAGAATATATACTCAATGGACATTACCAAGTCACTGTATATCCCAAGTCAGTTGAATTACGAGGAGCGACTCTCGATTACTCAGGATCAGACAATCTGGTGGAAAGGATCAACTGCTCTAAGTCAATCAAAGAAGATTTAATAATTATGGTAATACTTGCTGAGCTGTTGTCAAAGAACACTTATATTTCTAAACCTTTTGTCATGATGCCAAATTGGAAATTGTCTTTTAGAACTTTTTTTTAGATGCACATTTTTTGCTATGCCAATCTGACATCTGCAATCTAAATTATCTAAAAGATGATTATTATTTGAAAAAAAGACAATTTGGGATCCACTTTGTTTTTACTGTAGTTAGTGGTATGGATCATTTCAACTTAAATCTTTCTCTTTTAAACTTATACTGTTAACTGTTAAACTTATACTTTTTTCTTGCACTGTTTTGTTTTGAGTGCTTCTTGATAATTGCTCTTTGTCCATTGACATATAATGAAATGTTTTCTACATACGTTTTGATTGTTTCTCTGAGACCACATTCTCCTTGTTTATTTATGGAAAAATTTCCCTGTGATCTATGACTCCAGTTTAGAAATTAATTTTTATACCCCCCCCCCCTCCCCAGTATCTGTCTGCTTTTCTCACTGAAGTCTCCTTAATCATGCTTTTGATGTTGTGGTTGTGCCCAGGTGTTAGCTGTTGGAGAGCTAGAGCAGCCCGACATTCACTGGACATATGTAAAGTCCACTGGCAAACACATCCACTATATTTGGTACACACAGGGACCATACACCAAGTGTGACAGGTTATGTCAAGGTAATATGCTTAGACACAGGGAACTGGGAAATGACTTGTTTTGTCTGATGATACACAGGGAATAGAAGGAACAATGTTATGCTCACATATTGTTTTACAGAAAAGTGGTATATAAATGATGTACATTTGATCTGTTTAAGTAGAGAATAATATTTATGAGTGCATGAATTGAGAGGAGTCACCGAGGCTAGTTTGCTGTCAAATTTTGTTATCATACACAACACAACAGAACCAAATAGATGTAGGTTGAAAATGTCATTTTATTGACATTTGCACTTTGATTAAATGTTCAAAGTACGAATGAAAAATACTGAGAGTTAGATATAAATCTATGAATGACAATCATGCATGTTATATAATTTTCAAGCTTAAAGATATAATTTACATTTCAGCAAAGATGGGGGGAAAAAGGGATTTCTTTGTAAGATGATTACTGTTATTCAGCTATTGTTATTTTGTTATGATTAGGTTTCCATTATCGGCAAATAATATGTGTAACTAAGGATGACAAAAGGCGAGTGTCAGATGAGAAGTGTGCAAATATTCATCGGCCCAGGCAGAAAATGGAGAAGTGCAACACAGACTGCTCATTAGGGTAAGTTTATTTCTGTGATTTTTCAGAAAACAATTTTGACTAGAAGTCTTTTCTTTTTTTCTTGCATATGGTTATTCCAATAAAATGCAGTAATACAATTGGAAGATAGATATTAAAGCTCAAATCTTTTGCAAAATTAAATTTTAGAATATTTTTCTTCTTCCAACCTTCAGCTGGCATTCCTCTCAGTGGAATGAGTGCTCATCAAGATGTGGAAAGGGCATCAAGCAAAGACTGGTTCAGTGCGTCAAGAAAACATCCAATGAAATCTCATCAGTGGAAGATACCCACTGCTTGAAGATACGCGATAAACCTGCCTCGGCTTCCTCATGTCAAGGAGAATGTCTTCCAGCTCACTGGGGGTACACAGACTGGACACAGGTACATTGCTTTCTGTCATTTTCTCTTGTGTAAAGATTGCAAATGTTAGTTAACTATTTCTATAGGGACTTAATGTTATTTCTTTAACTACATGTATTTTGTGTGGGCAATACTTTCCAATCCTTTTCAATTTAATAAGGTCTATATTTCATTAAAATACTATTTTACAAAAACACGAAATCATCCAACTTTATAATTTTTTCATTGATAAATAATTTAACTTTTGAACATTCCCAGTGCTCCGCCACATGTGGAGGAGGTTTTCAGCATCGCCAGGGCACCTGTTATGATTCCAAGGGAAAGGAGCTGGTGGACAAGGAGTGTGAGAATGAGAAAAAACTTGTACGGAGAGGCTGTAACAACATTCCCTGTCCTGACTGGTACGTCATGGAGTGGAGTCTGGTGAGTTGATGGCACTTTTTTAAAAGATTTTGAATATTATTAGACATCTTAATTAGATGGTGTGTGTATGTGTGTGTAGAATTTTTGAAATCTGTTACAGAACTTTCATCATTTGAATTGAAGTGAATGGTTTTAAATTGTAGCTGTTTGTTAGGATTTGTCTTCACAGATTTTTATCTGGATTTTTGATTTGAAAAAATTTGCAATGTTCTTTCTTACACTCTGTCCAAAGAGACAAATGTACATCGTACAATCACCTTTATGGGCTGCTCATTTCAGTGTTCTGCTACCTGTGGCCGTGGCACGCAGTATCGACAGGTGTACTGCCGGCAGCATGCCAACCAAGTCAGCGATAGATTCTGCGACAATCAGCCGAGACCAGAATCTCGTCAGCATTGCAGTCTTGAGCCATGCCCAACATGGCAGACAGGAACGTGGACTGCAGTAAGCAATTTTCCATCTTTAGCTGCTGTGATACAATTTTTAATAATTATTATTATTATTATTATTATTATTATTATATTTTTGGACCCTGTGATGAGTGTTACATTTAAACATATTAACAAAAACCTGACACAGTCAATAAAAGATGCAACACAAGTGTGGCTAATTTCAAGAGTGATTTGGTCCATCAATACAGCATTACTCGCAACCAAGACAGAAGAAGGGATTTGGTTTTTATCTTGTGTGTCTGTTTACCTCCCGTAACATCATTTCAATATGTATCTGCATACTGTCTTATAACAATTCATAGAACCAATTATTCTTAATATACGGTCTATTTGTAATTTGGTTCTTATTTCCAGTGTTCTGTTAGTTGCGGGCGTGGAACTCAGGTCCGTTCCATCACCTGTCAGTCTCACACCAACACAGTGATTAAGGACCATCATTGTTCTCGGTCAACAAAGCCAAGCAGCCATCAAGACTGCTCCATGCCACGGTGCACCACAACCACAACAACAACTACAACGACTACTACAACACCGCCTACAACAACTACTACAACTACAACCACTACTCCACAACCTAGAGTGTACCACTGGAGAACAGGGGGATGGACCACTGTAAGCATTATTGTTGTGATTAGTGAATTGGGAACTGCTAGTGGGTCAACTTTTAGTATTTTAAATGTGCTTTTCAGCTTATACATAATAAAACCTACAACTTTTATAATACTGTTCTGAGCACCTTTTTTTTTTTTTTTTTTTTTAAAAACTAAATTTGGACATTGTTCTAACAGTTCCAACCTTTAATTTGGACATGTGGTGCTGGAATTGTTAGTATGGGCAGTGAATGATTTATGTTCTTGGGGTAAAAAATTGGAACTGCCAGTCATTGTCTCTGTAACAAACACTTATTTGTCTATGTCATATTACCTTTGGAATATTTTAATGTCCTGATGAAAAATTGGAACTGCCAGTCATCGATCATCTCTGTAACAAACACTCATTTGTCTATGTCATATTGCCTTTGGAATATTTTAATCTCCTGATGAACAGAGAGTTAGATATAATGTATGACTTTTCTTATTCAGTGCTCAACAAGTTGTGATGAAGGGAACAGGGAGCGCATGGTTGTGTGTCAGGACCAACATAACACCAGGGTCCATGATTCTTATTGCTTTCACCTCACTAAACCTACAAATATTGAAAGATGCCGTCTGTCTTACTGTGGACATTGGAGGATGGGAGACTGGAGTCAGGTAAGTGCAGAAAGTTTTCATTCATTCATTTAACTCGACAGGAGGACAGACAGCTTGAGAGAGAGAGAGAGAGAGAGAGAGAGAGACCTCTTTATCCATCTCAAATATAGAGGTTAAATATGAGACTTAATAAGTAAAAGAACAGAATTCTGTAATTTATATTTAACCATTACATTTCTTGCTGTTAAAACATAAATTGATTTGAATATTGGTTTGCTTTATATTCAGTGTTCAGTAAGTTGTGGAAAAGGGGTGGCTACACGCTACATAGCCTGTATTTCGAGAACAAAAAAACAAGAGCAAGAAATAATGGAAGATTCCAGCTGCGATCCTGCCCTCAAGCCGCCAGCAACAGAAATGTGTGAGATAGATTGCCCGGAAAGAACCGACATTCACACTGAGAATTCCAGAATTAAGATAACACCCAGAAGACATGATATTCTGCATGTCGAGCCAGATCCCAAGAAATACGACATTGTGAAAATTGAAAGTAATAAAGTAGAACACACGCGGCATTGGAGGGCTGGCCGCTGGAGTGAGGTGTGTACAGTTTTACATGTGTCACACTCAACACAATCTCATGCATTTTTTTCACATCCTGCACACTCTTTAAATTCTCTAGGACACAACTAACACAATTTGAATGCCACGTGTAGAAGTTGCTCATAGAAAGGTCCAAAAGGAAGAAATTAATAAAATTTCGTGCAGGGATTGACCCTCCCCCCTCCTTTCAGAAAAAAAAAATAATAATAATAATAAATAATAAATAAAGGGAATTTAAAAACTAAGCAAACAAATACATATATACTTATTTTCAACTGAGAAAATTAATATTCTGTGGCTGTTTCAGTGTTCCAAGACCTGCGAGACAGGCTGGAGGATCAGAAAAGTGGTCTGTATGGATGAGAAGGGACCCACTGAGGGGTGTCACAAGGACCAGATGCCCCCCAGTAAAGAGCAGTGCAATGCTGGAGGATGTCCAGTTTGGAGTTTTGGCAACTGGGGCATAGTAAGTCTCATAACATTTTGTTCCTTATTTGTTATTGTAGTTGGGCTTTTGCCATAGACTATTGCAGACATTTATCCTGAATTTTGAAATTTTAGATTATATTTGATTTGATGAACTTTTTATATCATAAAGAACTGTATATCAGAATGATTCTGAAATCAGCTAGTACCCAGTACATTGTGTCAGAATCCTCACGTGGTAAATACCTTTCATTTGTTGTTAAGAGGTATAAAAATTGACAACTTTAAAACTGTTCATATGACATAAATTTCAGTGCTCTGCAAGCTGCGGAGAAGGCACTCAGAACCGAATGGTGCGCTGCCGAATGCGTAATGGCACTGTGCTGACAGACAGCCATTGCAAAGGGACCACAAAACCTGCTGATACCCAAAAATGTTCCATCAAACCTTGTCCCACAGCCCCAAGTGTGGTTAACAGCAGAGAACAGGGTCAAGGTGAAGGTCAGAAAGGTCAGGACAGGGGTCAAGGTCACAGAGGTCAAGATAACAGAGGTCATGTCCACAGAGAAGAAACCAGACGAGGTCACTGGAAAAACGGACCATGGTCTAGGGTAGGCCATCTTTATTATTCACAAAACCATTAACAGCTTTGGAGGGATTATAACAAAAATGTTTAAAAAATAACATACATTTTATGTTCAATCTCATTTATGCATTATGCATTGCCCATATATAGGCATTTCAACAATGTCTGACACAATATAGCTCCCTGCAAGAAGTGATGGGTGATAATTTACATTGAAGTGATCGTTTGTTTTTGAAGGTCACAACATGTGCACCCATAGAGAATTATGCTCAATCAGTCAGTGGTATACATAACACATTACCTCCACATTTTAACATTGCCACTAGTTTTCAAGACTGCAGCAAAATATACAAAATGAGTGGAATTTATTTTTAAGCAGTTGTTCCAAGTGGTATATTGGTCGTTAACTTGACAGAAAGTAGCAAATAAAATTTTAAGTAAAAATTAGCTGTAGATTAAGCAAATTATGAAGTTTGGACTATCTTGTTAATTTATATATTGATCAAGATTTGGTTACTGAGTTTAGAAGGCTTAAATATTTGTATAATATATAGTATCTAGTCTTTTTAGAGTGAGATGAAATATAGGAAGAGGATGCATTCTTTAGTATCTGTATTTTTATTTTACTTGACCCTGTCTCATATTGATGGTGGAGATGGTGATTGCATTAGTTGTGATCTCAACAACCGCAATCCATCTCATCCTGAATAGATTTATAAGGCATACAATGAGTGACAGACCTTTATAAAGCAAAAGTGAATGATCTTGAAAATTTCAACACTTTTGCCTTAGTCATTAATGCCAAAATTTTCCTCCAAAACTGTTGAAGTAATCACTATCTATAAATTCTGTTTTCAAGCTCTCAGGTTATAATTCTAACAGTAATGAGTGAAAACTTTGCCAGTCTCCATCTTTATTATGAAAATGAATAAAAATTAGATACTTAAACTCAGAAGTGGTTTTATAGGTAGCAATTTTCTCTGGATATGGTATACCTTGGATAATTAAGGGAAAAGTGTTAGAATTTCCAGAAAATCAATTTTTTTGCAATATATACAGTGAGCCAAGTGTTCATTGCGGGCTTTTAACAATTGTTTTTAGATTTGAGATTAGTGAGGCTAGTCTTCATCATATACCTTAATAAAAAAAATAAGAAAAAATAACAGCTATTGTTTATAATTAAGTGTCATCATATGATGAATGTACAAAGCTATACACTGCCAGTGTGGAAGTCACATTAATTTATTTGTTCATAACTAACATCTTTTACACACTCTCATGTTATTTATATATTTGTTATACATGTTATATTGTTTACAAGATTTACATATTGAAATAATTGAGTTTGGCCAGTGCTAGTTTGGTTTTATTTCATGTTTACTATGAAGTGTTTTATAATGAGAAAAAATTATTGACATAACTCAAGCAAATAGTCAGTAGGTAAATTGTCTCTTTTGTTTATTTCATCCTTACCATTAAATATGTGTATTCATGATAACTCATTAATTAACATAATTTAATCAAATAACCCTAAGGCAAATTATATTTATTAACTCCACTTAATTCAGAAGAAATTCTCAGCCATTTAACCAGCCAGTGGAGACATTATAGTAGGCATGGTGCAGCATATGTTATGAATGAAAAATAAGTTCAGTTACACCTTCCAAGACAATAGAAATGCCACGGCTGTGAGTGGAAGGACCAGACTAGGGGTGGTGTGAAATATGTAACAGTTTAAGGAGAGAGTAAGAAATGTAGAGGTTAAGAAAGTCATAGTTGAATTCATGTAAAAGTCTGACAAACAGTCTGAACTAGTTTCCATGGACTGAGCCTTTTGAAATTATTAGTTTACACCCCAGCAGTAAGACACCTGATTACTTGGGCTGACTGATGAGATCATTGAAACTGTTCAGTGCTGGTTTATCATCTTCATCTTGAGAGGCCATTACTTAATATTTGTGTGTGTGTGTATGCGTGTATGTGTGCATGCATTCTTGTGCATATTTTTTTCTGTTAATCGCTTGTCTGCTACAACTTTCATGTGTCAAAAAAAAAAGATTAGAATTTCCATGCCTTGCTGCCATTTTAACTTAACGAGTCAAAGCAAGAAAAATGGCACCCTTTCCTTCTTGTACATGTACATAATACACAGATTGCCCGCAATCCAAACCATGATATTTATAGAACTTGTTAGAAAGTGAAGAAATGCCTTGGTATTTTGTCAGGCAGTTTTTACTTTAGTTTCAATTGCAATATATATTTTACTAGTCAATTCTTTTGCAATACTTTACATGAATTATAGGATTTTTTTAGAATGTTGGGTAATACATAGCAATTTAACTTTACAGTATGCAGTTTTATTTAAATGTACTTAGGTTTTAGTTTCAATATAATTTTTTCACTCAACTCAATAATTCAGGTACACAAATTGATTAATTGAAAGCAGTATACAAATAGTGGAATGTTGTTTAAACTGGGGATGTTTTTGGTGGAAAATAAAAATAGTCTAAATGTAGGTCCTTACTTTAAGACCATAATATTTTATTCTACTTTGACTGTAAAATCAAAAATACTGGTCCGAAAAGAATTAAGAAGTTCAACATTTTTGGTCTGTATAGTTACATATATGGTTCTTGACAGTGTCTTGTTAGATTGAAATGTAACAGAGAGCACACACGAGGTGATTAGGTTGAAGTTCCTGTCACCCCAGATACATTTTGATTGGGAGAGCATGTAAACAATGGAAGCCTGTCACTTTGTCTCAGTTAGCTAACATGAAAGTATGTGGACGGATCCCACCCAAAGTTTCTTTCTTGTAAAAAAACTTCACTTTATTGTCAATTGTAGGGATTTAAGTTGGAAGCAAACAGGTTCGTCAGAACTGCGTGTCTTTAACAATTATTGATATAAGCTTATATTCACTGTATAGATAGCAAAGATTTGTTTTTTACAGACTTGCAATAATTTATTTCAGAAAGACATTTGAATTCTACATTTGATGGTGCTTGATATGAGGGATTTTTATTTTATTTTTTTTAATTTATTTATATATTTATTTATTTATTTTGATTGACTAATTATTTATAAAGATAAAAAGTGCAGTTCCATAGATTCGGGGGGGGGGGGGGGGGGGGGAGAGAGAGAGGTTTGAAAGAACCCATTGCTGACCTTAAAAGGTCTGCTGTTCATCAAAATTTGATCTCAGTTCTGTACCACTTCTCACGTTGTGCCAATTAAGGTCATGAAAAAATGTCCAATTTTTCAGAAAAAGGAACTCCTCATTGAAGTTGCTGGCTACATGCCTGATGTATTTTGGTCAAATAAAAAGTGTCTATACTTTCTGCAAAATGTGATATCCTACTATTGCAAATGACTGAATAAAACTTATTCAAGAAGACCTCACAGGTAAACTAAAGCAATATAAGTAATGGTAATTACACAGTATTTTCAAAGCCCTTACTGTTTCTCAAATTTTACTCTTTAAAGATTTATCATTTTTAATTGCTTAAGAAAAATGTACTTTACAACTAGAGATAGGTAACTTCTCAAACATTTGACTTAAAATTCCTAAGTATGTATTACTCAAGAAACAATATGTGGTGAAAATTTATCATTCGTTTTGTTCAAATTTAAGTAATAAGTACCGTAACCATCTCTTAAATTGTTCAACTTGTATGAAGGAAGGTTGGTGATTTAACACTCCTGTTACAAAAACCTAAATGAGGATCAGTTAAGAAAAAATAACTGAAGGAAATGTAGTCTTGGCATTTCAACAAAACAGTAATTTTTATTGTGGGTAATCAGAGTCCCATGCTGTCCTCCCACTAATGTTTGGATTTCAGTCGACATACACAGGCGTACATGCATGATTGTCTGTACTCACTTTGTAGCAGAACTGTGTCTCCGTGTGGTTTTTTTTTCTTGCATGACGGTAGACTTTGACAGAAGAATGCTTCTTGTTACTTCACCAACTTGGTGGGAGCTGCCAGTTTGTCATGTTAGCATTTTGTTTAGTAAGTTCAGACGTAATACACGTCTGGATTTAAAATTTAAAAAATCAAAATAGAAAAAAATTCTTAGCAGTGTCACGGGGAGTTCTACACTCTTCCGTTATTTTATTTGTTCAAGGGAGTGATGATTTTGTTTTATTTCTGAAAATATTTACTTTAAAAAGTAACCATTAAGAGATTAAAGGTGAATAACATGACGGAGTACCACTCATTGGCCAATGTGGGCTGTACGCCACTCACACTTAAAACCTTAAGTATCAATATATGAAGTTACTATTATAAACATGACCCATTGTCATGTCTCAATAAAAAATCCCTAGAGAAACAATTTAAATGAAAAATTTATTAATTTATTGTTTTATTTTTTGTCGTTGAAATAAGCGTACCATTACAATCACAAGGGCAGCATCATACTCAAGTTAAAAGGCCCCTTGCCTCACATACCTAATCAAGTGCTTGTCTGGAACCCATTGAAGGCACTCAAGTTGCACTGATAGCATTCATGCTCCATTAAACCTCAATGAGCCAAATCCTATGTCCAGCCCAGCCCACCTTTGCTTGACCACTGCTGGACAGCTCAGGTGTCTGTGGTCACTTGGTACTTGGTTGATACCTGATACGGTGTTAATTTGGATGGCTATGTTTTATCATTGGAAATGCTAGTTGTACCCCCTTGAGAGACAGTTCAGTGCAAAGGTTGCCCTCTTGGTGTCCAGTTGACCATTTGATGACCATGATGGGCTTACTTTCGGTTAGGTGGATAGGATACGGAACTGCATACTTTTGCTGGTTATATTGCATGCTTTTAAATGCAGTCTGTGTTTCATAGCCATTTTATGACCTCGACTCCTGTACTGTAAACCCCCCCCCCCCTCCTAAATATAATAGTCTCAGTTTTCACAGTTATTTTTATGTGTAGACTTTCCTTTACATGCTTCTCACTCAGACTGGAAAAAGTTTTATAAGAGACTCACCCAAAAAACTTATTAGAGTCTCACTTGTAGAAAAAAAAAAA